ATGTGTTTGGTATCAATATGACATTATAATCGAGATCGACAAGAAATTCCGATGAATCGAGGAAACGGCAGAAATTCGTAAGCTTGCCGTAACAACGCGAACCGTATACAGCACCTTCGAACGCGTACGTACTTTATGTATATAATCAACGGTGATACGCGTACCGCGTAGGAATCGATACGGGTTCATCGTATAGCGGTCTCGTAATGATACGGCGACGAGAATCAACCGGAAACGACTCGTCGACCGGAACGGGGCTCTTTCGCGAATCGCTCGAGCTACGAACAGCGTAACGTAACGCGACCCGAACCAATATTTCATATTTACTTCCATACGATAAATTAGAAACGTGTCTTCGGTAGTTGGAAACGCATCTTTGACTCGAACTACTTCCGTTCCGTTCCATATCGATACGTACGGGCAATAGCTTGTAAGAAAGATTGAAATTTTTGAGAAAACTCAAACGAACGTCTCCTCCGTCGAAACGCACGTGAGATCGATGCAAGCCGTTTCGTTGCATCGAGCAAAGAAAGGATAAGAACAACGATACATCCAGACCGGAAATTACATTAAAAAAAAAGAATTCAAAGATACGACTAGAAGCCGGCGACGCGAACGAATCGTTGTAAAATTTTTGCTTTCTCGACAGGTCTTGTCGGCAGAGAGATAGAAAGAGAGAGGCGAATGGTCGCGAAGAAGCGCGTAGAATAAAGGTCGGCCATGAACCCCGACACGTTTTCTCGTACACCTGTATACACGAGGACTTACTTCTCGAAACGCAATCCATGCTTTCGGGCTACATAATGTATTCGTAACCCAAATATCTACGCGAAAACGAAAGGGAAAAGCGCACAGACTCGCGATCCATTGACGGTGCATGAATTCACCGCCGTGAAGATCGCGGCGAAAAAGTTTCGCAAAGAACAACAGGTAAATACAGGTGACAGGGGAACCGTGGAAGGAAACTAATCCGAGTCAGACGCGTCTTATTACGTTTTCCGTGGGAGTAGAACCAGTTTCGTTGCGCGAGTCGTATCGACAATTGTCCGGCATAATAAGATGCGTGTCTCTGACGTAACACTTTCACCCCCGAGGGACTCGAGGGCCGGGCGAACCACTCGCCGCCACGCTCCTTTTCAAATATCTATCTCTTTGCATATATGTATATGTATACAGCTGGTGGTACGATACACATAGAAACGTATTACACCTACAACCTACTGCCACTCTCCGCTCCAACACCCCTCTTCCTCTAGTACCGATTACCGATCCATCCTCTCTTTCCATCTCTCCATCCATAGTCTCTCTCTCTCTCTCTCTCTCTCTCTCTCTCTCTCTCTCTCTCTCTCTCTCTCTCTCTATTTCTCCTTTTCCATTCCATTCTCCATCGATAATTACGTAACGGAATATAAAAGTTTGCAGCATGATCCCGGGACGATGTAACGACGGAGCAGCTAGCCGAGTCCACGTTTACCTTCCCGAGTGTCGTTTTCTTCATCGACGGAAATTACTCGAATTAACTCCATCGTTTTTCCCGATGCTTTCATTTCGTACGATCACGAACACCTCCCGTTGACCCTCGTATTAGTAATGAAAAAATAGTGTAACACTGATCGTTCAGCGCCGATATTGCAAAACATCCGGATGTGAACCGCGTTCTTTTTCGACGCGTATCGCGAATAGGTATCGGGTAGATTAGTCAGCAGATGGTTTTTTATGATTTTGTAAAAGGGCGAAAGAATGCTCGTCGCGAATCCAGGTACACCGACCGAGGTCAAATAACGACGACGATCACCAATTAGCAGATAAAACGTCGATAAATGACTGTGTCAGTTCGAACGTATCGGTGGTCAAGATAAGATTTTTTTTTAAAGCAAGGATAAGTATAACACGAGCAACGAGATTTAACGTTCGCTCGGTAAATAAAGCTCAATGCCGTTCGACGAACGTCTTCGTTGCGTTTCGTTAGCTATCGGGATCGAGTTCTCGCGGCCTCCAAACGCTTTTCCAATGCGAAAGCGATGGACGAAACACGAAAACGTTTGATCCATCGCGAAATTCATGGAAATTCTAAGAGACAGTCGGAAGAAGGAGAGACTGTATTTATCATTAGTAATTTTTCATTCGTTTACTTTTAGAATCCAAGGTTGCATCGTTTCGACGTTCGGATAATTTCCAAATAGGAAATTATGTCGCTTCTGCGCGCGTTCACGAATGGTGGGAGGAAAAATGTTGACGAGGTAGTCGCCGATACAACAAGAGAGACGAGTTAACGAGATACCAACGAAAACCTTGTAACGAATCTCCTTTTATGCGTTGCCTGTACCGCTCTCGATCTTACCGAATAATCGCGCGGATCTTCTTTCTCGAATTCGAGTCATTATCCATCTATAACTACACCGTCATTCGTGTCGCGGATAATTGTTCAACGGTGAGTGGACAACGCGTCATCGACGCAACGATATCTTACCGTGGCTTTTTCCTTTCAGAAACATCGAAAAAATGGTCTACCACGGTTCTCATAGTTTTCGCCTCGTTTCGTTTCGTTTCAAACCAGTAACAAAAATAAACACTTTGTATTTTACAAATTTTTTAATATCGAACATCATTATTTTCTATTGGACGGTAGTACATCGCAAATGTGTTTAAATTGAATTTTACTCCGTGATGTGAGCATAAAGTCAACGACGTGCAACGACTAAAGCGATCGAGAAAGCGTACTAAACGAATAAACATTTACATGCGTGTGTCTGTATGGAGATTTTTATAGAAGTAGGTCGAACTTCCGATACCAACGAAACGGAAAAAAGAATCGAAATGTCACTCGCGGAAACATGCACGTGCAGTGTACGTTCTCCGTGCGAATATAAACATTTTTCTCCTCGTTTCGATCGGATCAAGGTATGACAGATAAGACGAATCATCTTCTTTATAAGTTGCCAATTGCCCGAGAAACGTTTAAGAAAAGAAAGCGATTCTCTCGTTTGCGAACGTTACAAACAGTTTTACTTTCAACGAGTCCTGCGACAAAATTTCAGACTAACGTTTATAATAACTTTCGTCACTAGATTCGTATCGTATCGAAGAAAAGAAGGGTTAACAACCAGTATACTTATACGAAGCCGACGAGGAGGAACAATGGTTTCCGTGAAACGATCATAGAATAGAAGGTCACATGAATGTTGCTACTCACCGCGTACTTGTCCTTGTAAAAAAGAGAACTGGTCGACATGGCGTTAATCCCGAAGCAACAAGTCGCACAGACCGCGTAAACTCACGGTTTCATCGTCGATCGCCGTTATTTTGGCTACGGCTCGTCGCCGTATCCATTCAACGTGTCAATGCGAATGCATGCACGCATGCACTCACGCACGCACGCATCTACTCATATATGTACAAAGCGTGCAGGCAGTAGCACACACGCACCGTTGCACAAACACACGCACGTTCGCGCGTGCACTTCCACTCACGCTCGTTCCGAATCTTTTCGATCGAGAGACAACAAACGAGAAACGAGAAACGAGAAACGAAAAACATGGGTCGGCAAAAGGGATCGAAAGTTTCGGGAAATCGGAGTGTTGACAGTGAACCAGAAAAGTGTGGACGGTGTCCCGCGCGGAAAGAGTCGAGTCCACGACTGACGGACGGTAGAGGACAGAACGTGCTGGGACCGCTGGGCTGGGACGGCGTGTCGTGGAACTGGACAGTACGGTACAGGGCAGACGGATCGGATCGAATCGGATCGGATCGGTTCGGATTGGGACGGGACGAGTTCAAGCTGCGAAAGAAAGAGACTGATACACGGTGTGTATGTCCTGTTAGTTTATGGCCACGGTTACGGTAAGAAAGGTAGAGTTCTCCCCTCTCCTTGTACCATCGTGCTGACCTACAATCTAACGCAAAGGCTCTCTCTTTTCGCCCTCTTTTTCCTCTCTCGTAGTCTCTCTCTCTCTCTCTCTCTCTCTCTCTCTCTCTCTCCTCTCCCACCCTTCAAGAGCAGTACTGTAACACTATACATATACCACATGATATCGGTAAATACTTTTTTTTTATACACCCCCCATTCAAAGTTAGATTAATTTTTCGCCTATTTCTTTTCATCCGAACGTTTAGTGAGTCGCTTTAATTCACACTTGTCGATCTATTGTATACGCATACAACCCAGTTAGCCGAACCGGCAAAGCCAAATTTTGTCCAATGTCTGTTATAAAGTTATGACTAAAAGTTTGATGCAAGATTTCCTATAAACAACTTGCGCGTAGATTGACAGGAACATAGGCAGCAAATTGACTAGCGCAAACCTTGTTCCGATTTTGCCCTCAATTTGACATAAGTCATGTTGCAAGACTTTCTGCCAATTTTCTTTACCATTTTGTCAGCTGGCGTTGCCTGCAAAACTCAAGTCGATTGCGGAAACAACAAAATTTGCTCGAAACTTGTACACAACTGGTTATCAGGGAAATACCTTTGAAAGAAACGTAATTCGGATTAAAAAAATTGTTACAACCTTAAACGCAAACTGCTCTTCGCCTTGACATTTCACTACGTGTATGTACATCACTGTCTTCTAATTATCCAGTTTTCGTGTGTATGGCATTCATCGAGAACTTCGGATACACATACACCGGATTTGTACTATTTCGCTCTGAGCTAATAAAACAAGAACGTTAGTGTAAGCAAGTACACGACCTTTGAAACTTTTGCTCTAGAAAATATTCATAGAAATAATATTAACCTTTTACGTTCAGACGGTTAGATATCTGGCAAATCCCACCTTTTTCGGATAAACCATAGCCAGCTATCTAGACAAATCCTTCCTATAAAGCGATATTCGACCGTGAAGAATTAACTTTAGATTTACAACGGAAGCTGGTTGCGTCGGTAAGACGCGCAAACGAAACTTTCAAAAGTTCGATTCCGGAAACAGGAGAAGTCGATATCGATGAAAACAACCAATCGCCATCTTGTTTGGTCGACAGTTGAATCTCGAAACACTCTCGAATCAGAGGTCTACAGCGCGATACGTGAGTGCTCTGTGTGTTTGTTTGCTTCTCCCGGAACGAACGTCTCGAAATATGACTCAAGAAGGCCGGTAAGTATATCGACATTCACATAGAAACTCCTTCAAATATCTTCCTTAATTTCTAAATTTCATCTCTTTGTTTATACGATAAGAAAAGTAGCAGATATTCATCGGAAGACCCGAAATGCTGCCCCGTGGCTTTCGAAACACCGCCATGTTGTGTGACTTTATTGATTCTCGAAATTTCTGGAAAAAAAATGCAAGAAATCTCTTGTATTTTCAATTCTGACGAATTTACAACGTGGCCACGTTTTGTCTTTAATATGCAATGTGTTCCCAATGATAAACCTCCACCCTCGATCCACTATTCACGAAGTATCAGACGATCAGACTCGGTCGTATAAGCTTTTAATAGCTTGTATTTCTAAGCAACTATTTATCGATATTTCAGATGTGAATAACACGCCGTAATTTTGATATATTTCTTCGACACGTGTTCAGTAACATACGATCACTTCTTCTTTTTTCCACTATTAGGCAACAACACTCTGTATCATTTTTATCTATAATGACTGGCGGTTTTCGACGGAAACCATAGAACTTTATTTCTAACCTTTACCTACGTCTTACGATTACCACATTATCGTGCACACGTTTCTTTTGCATTGATTATTCTGTACCATGAAAGATTAGATTTCGTTTATCGAGTTAGGTAGACGATCATTGAAAATTAATGAAAAATAATTACGTAGAAAATGAAATTTTAATACTTCATCACGCGTGTTACTATACATGCGTTTACCTGGGGGTTACCACCCTGTATATGAATATACATGCAACACGTTACGCGTGTATTTAGTTAATGTTATCCATTTTGTGATGTACAGTTCTATAAATTTTATCTTCTTAATATTTAAATTGATGTTAACTAATTTTTTAATTGTACTCTGGATTACATACCATTTTTTTCCCCTTTTTCCAATGTATTTAATTATCAACTACTAAATTGTTTAATCATTTTTAGATTGCCTCCCCCATCTGTTATCTGGGCTCAGAGAAACAATATTCTATATGTTACGATCTGTTTAGAAGATTGCAAAGATCCTGTTATTAAAATCGAACCAGAAATGATGTATTTTAAAGGAATTGGTGGAGTGGAAAAGAAAATGTACGAAGTGACAATTAACTTGTACGGGGAAATTGATCCAAGCAAAACAGTTCAAACAATAAGAGGAAGGACTCTTGAATTCATTCTTGCCAAACAAGAGGCTGGTCCATACTGGCCAAGATTAACAAAGGAAAAAACAAAAGCTCATTGGCTGAAAAGTGATTTTAATAAGTGGAAGGATGAAAGCGATAGCGACATTGAAATTGAAGGAAATAACTTGGAAGATGTAAGGACAAGGATCATTTAATAAAAGGTTTCTCTAAACTTGTCACACATTTCAATTATAATCCATTTCATTTCGTATCTGTACTTACAGATGATGAGACACATGGGTGGCTTGGGAGGTTCTGGAGATAGTAAGCCAAGCTATGTCAATTTCGATGATATGATGGCCGATGGCGGCGAAGGAACAGATAGCGACGATGAGGATTTACCTGACTTGATCGAGTGAACAAATTTTAACGCTGCTATAAAATAATCTTCATTCAAAAAACGTTAAAAATAAAAACAAAGGGCGACCTAAGAATAGTGCACCACCAGGCGATATTTCAGTAGGCCATGTTATTTGTATTTTCAATTGCAAATAAGTTTTGCAAACTTGCTAACGGCCCGCGACGCAGTAGCAAAGAAATGAGTACGGTGCGCAAGGAACTGTCAACAGAAAAAAAAGAATACAGTGGTCAAAAGAACGAACAGTAATATACTTTTTAAAGATTTTCCAATCTTTTAGTCTGTAGTTCATATACTAAGTTATAATGGACAAGCTTTTTTTTTAATAATCATTACTGATGTAAAAGATGAAGGATATGAAATAATGAAAATGATTTAAATTATTTGTGGAATTGTTTATTTCAGGAAATCCCGTTAAAAAAGAAACTTGAAAAATTAATTTATGCAATTGTCTACTATGATCACGGCGAACGTTTTAGAAAAGTTTTACAGCATGTTTTTTGTTTATATTTACTGTACACTGTAAACAATTTGCGGAATTACACTTTGCGTTTGTTAATCTAAAATAACTGTAATAAGTAGCATTACAGGAAAATCATTCTCGTGTTCTGTATTATCTAAATATAAGAAACTGATAGAAAGAAAAGGTTATAAATTCATTTATCCAACGATACTGGAAGCGCCGCGTAATGCTAAATATCCGGCAGTTATATCCATCGGTAGACTTCGAACTGTTGCAAATTCTTCAGCAGTAGCATAATATAATTTAGTCTGCGGATCTGTATACCGTGCCTATAAAATAAATGTAATTTTTACATCTATGTACTTTTGAATAATGTAACTGATTATACGATTGTGGTATACTAATACTGACCGGTAACCCAGAAATGTCTGAATATTTCTTTGCCGGTCTAAAACTTGGCGGTGCGTTAATGGAACTATCTGAAATTTTGATAAATTAGCGGTAAGATGTTCATTCGGAATTAATACTCGTATCGCGTAGCCTGTCAGTTGCTTCCTGATTTACTGACTCAACGCTCTTACTAGATTATTATATCTCAAACATTTAAGATTGATAGCAATACTAAGAACATAGTTTATATATGAAAATTATTTGTAAGTACAAGTAACTTGTTCCTTAAATATCTATGATGTTCCAGAGATCTTTTAAATCCTCAGTTATTCAAATTGTTCCAATTTTATTAAATGTATTAATGGTTAAATTGTTTAAGAATAATACATACAATGTATTACTTCCACTGGCCATGGTAGTGCACGTTCTTGAGCCAAGACTTGCTTTAATGAACGCCAGATTCGTTTCTTTCCAGTGGTACTAGTCGGTCGAAATTTTTGCTGAAAAATTGGATTCTTGAAAACTGGTTGTGCTTTCTTGTTAAATTCCACCACTTCATCGCTCACCATTTTGTCATTTTATCTATAAAGTTGTAAATGTTTTATAAGATACATAATCTATGTCAATAAAACATATAAATACATATTAATTTGTACATTATATATATATTAAAACATCCGAGACCGACGTATTATTACAAGACTATACTAAGAAACTGGCAATGTTTATGTACAGTGTACAGCCACGAGGTGACCCACATGTTGAGTCATCGACTAAACATGCTAGATATTTCACGACTTATATGGTGGGTCATCGGTTTCGAATGTATTATAACTATTTACATTTATATAATCAAAGAACAATCATGCTAAACTACATTTCCAAACAAATACTTAATTATAAAATTTCTTTATTAGTCTATCATATTTTACACTCTAATGAAGATGTTTGTAATAATTTTTTTATGGACCATGCAAAACTAATACTTCATGTACATCGCATCTTAGTATGCCACAAATTGTGTTCATCATCGTTGTATTCAAATGTTTGACCAAAACTTTGGCCCACTGACTCAAAACAAGTAAGGCAGCAAAGGAATTCTGCGGATTTCTATAAAAATAAAATTTGTAATCCATTCAAACTTAGAATATACATGTATCTTCTTTTACAATAAAATACCTTTGAAATTCAAAATGATATTTATATCCTTGCAACAGATACTTCTTAATAACATCCAATAAATCATTTTCAACTAATACAAAAGCTTTTTCACTTGGCTCGATCAAACATAATATTGCATGATGACAAAGAAGTTGATTGTATTTCATCTGATTTTGCATATTACCACCACAATTTTCAGTCTGTATGATAAATTTAATGGTGAATAAAGTTAAAAATGAAAAGTGTTGTATAAATTTGAAATAAATATAAATGATGGAATCATATAACCTTTGCAATATAAAGGGTAACATGCACTTTCCTCTCAATATATTCTATATCTTTTGCATGGAAACATAAAAATTCTTCAGCCATTTCTACTTCTTTTCTTGCTACCTGTGCCAGATTTTCTGACAGACTATACTTAAAAAAATCTTTCTGATTATCATACTCTGCTCTTATAATATTAACACTTTTGTAATTACTTAGCTCAATTGTGACGTGATCAAATGTATTAGAATTTTCAAGTACAGGAGACTTTCTATATTTACTGCTTTGATAAGTTTGTGAATTAATTGGCTTTTCTCCGCATAATGCAGGTGATAGATTCTTCTTTAATCCACTCAACTTGTTTCTTAAATTTGTTCTTACTTTCTTATTTAATATCTTAGTTTCCATTTTTCTTATATTCTCAATATTTTTTCTTCTTATCCTAACCTTCTGGAGTATCTTTGTATTAATATTTTTTAAATATGAACTTAATATCTGTGTATTGCTCAAAGAAGTCAATTTATCAAAAAGGGTAGTATGTTTTTCTATGAAATATTGCACACTCTTTTCATTGGAGAAATCCAAATTTTGTGGTATGTCTCTGATTTTTTCTGCTGTGTAAAGTAACTGTTGTTTGATCCTACAAGCTCTATCAACATACTTTATAAATGTAATTTTGTTATGGTTTCTCCAAGTAGAAGATTCAATTCTTAAATTTTGGATAAATGTATGTACAAATTTGTCTACATTTAATGTTGATACTTCAAACATATTTCAAATCACTGCATCACAATGTTATACTTTTAATGAAAAGTAAATATTATGTAAACATTTCAAAGTCGCATATGTAGAAAAATGTTAAAAATACTAACTTTCTTATGAAATAAATGACAGCTCAACATCATGAACAACTTCTCCAACATTTTCATTCAACTTCATAATGATGTACGGTTCAAAGATTACAGTCATTATGACAATTACTCGCTTTTGTAGTAACTGTCTTGTTACGATACGTTACATGAATCGATCCTTAAATAAAAAATTTCTTAACCATCGTAAGTATATCGTTTATTTTTCTGATGCATAATCATAAACCGACAGAGTAAATAAAACGTTAGACAAGTTAATGGAATTAATGCTTAACCTCCGAAACGGAAGTGTTTTAAAAGGTATCCTTAATGTTTTAATTGATGTTCAGTATATTTAATCTTACATGTACATACTTTTTTGTATATCATTGCAAAATAACATAACAACGTAAAATGTTTAGAACATTTGAATTTCTCACTCACCATTGATAGGTGTAATCATTCAGATTGATTCGGATTGATTCAGATTTTGTCCAATTTTATCGTCAAGTCCAGTCACACGAATCGTATCCGTCTAACAACAAGTACTTAGATATTCCATAAACATGTATAATAAACTGCGCGTCTTATGGTATGTACGAAATACAACAGTCCTATCTATGCCACAATATTCTATAATATTCATTGCAACGCAGAAAATTGTAAAATCACTTTACTGCACTTTATTGTTATTCGAATTCAGAAGTTTATTAAGGAAGTTAAATCTCGTTTATAAAACATTTATTTTAAATAAATGTATACTATATTTTCCATAGTCCTTTTTAAGTCGTGTATGAGGTATAAAGCATGAATTTCTGTACAGTATAAAAATAATTAATTTCGTTCTACATTTTGTATTTTTTAGTTCGTCTTATGATAATATAGTTTAAATAAAAAGCGATTGTCTTACGTTTTCTGTAACGTACACGTTTTTTAAGGTATATATACTCTCAATTTGAACAGTAATTTCTAAAATACAAATTTTTTGAGTATGTTTTAAGTTTAAACACTGCATTACCTTCAGAATAAATCTAAATCTGTTTTGAATGAACTGTAGCTAAAGCGCGTTTACATTTTCAAACACATTTCCATTATATTGGAGTAATGTTTATTTATATGAATTAAATAATAATCACATTTATTTAAATATAATTAAAAATGTATTCTTACAAAAAAATTGTTTTACAAGTACTTGATTTAATTACTGTAGAAAAGAGAGGGGAGAAAGTGATTGAAGATAGTGGGGGTTCGATAAAATGAGGTTAGGGAGAACGTGACCAAATTCACCTTGTACACTCTTGAAGGTCAGAAGAACATTTTTGTAATTTGCTCCAGGCTTGCTGAGGAATTGTAATTTGGTTTCGATTGGTACTCTTTACGGGTCTATACACGGTACAGCCATGGGTCGCAAATTCTTTGTCGGTGGTAATTGGAAAATGAACGGTACCAAAAGTGAAATAGACGGTATCGTAGCCTTTTTAAAGAATGGTCCACTTGATCCAAATGTTGGTACGTTTTTTCTATGTGTATTGAAGTTTCTAACTTAAAATAAGTTTACATAATATTCTTATAATTTCGATTCTCAGTGAAATATTAATATACGAAATAGTTTTAAGCATTGATCAATTATACTTTGATAATAATTGTGTTAATTATGTAATAACTAATTATTAATTATGTAGAGATTGTTGTTGGAGTGCCATCAATATACCTGACATATGTAAAAAGCATATTACCTGCCAACGTTAATATCAGTGGTCAGAATGCATATAAGGTAACAAAAGGAGCATATACTGGAGAAATTAGTCCTGCTATGTTATTGGATAATGGAATCCCTTGGGTAATTTTGGGTCATTCGGAACGAAGAAATGTTTTTGGTGAAACAGATGAGTTAATTGCAGACAAAGTAGCTCATGCCTTAGAAACTGGAGTAAAGGTAAATAAAACAATTATGTGGTATATATATTATTTGTTCCTTTAATGGAACATTGTTTAAATCTATGCAGATCAGTTAATCAAATTACTGTTGATATAAAGGTAATTGCATGTATTGGAGAAAAATTAGAAGAGCGTGAAGCTGGAAAGACAGAAGAAGTAGTATTCAGGCAGACTAAAGCTATTGCAGATAAAATCAAATCCTGGGACAATGTAGTTGTTGCCTATGAGCCAGTATGGGCAATTGGAACAGGCAAGACAGCCACTCCTCAGCAAGCTCAAGAGGTACATGAGAAACTGAGGCAGTGGTTTTCCCAAAATGTTAATGCAACGGTCGCTGAAAATGTTAGAATTATTTATGGAGGATCAGTGACAGCAGAAAATGCAAAAGATTTAGCAAAGGAAAAAGATATCGATGGATTTCTAGTTGGAGGAGCATCTTTGAAACCTGACTTTGTACAAATTGTTAATGCTAAACAGTGAGATCAATATTGCCAGTTGTACAAAAATGTTGCTTGTTAATTATAACATACTGAGAACCTGTTTCACAAAATGTTATAAAAAATTAACTTATATTCGTTTATTCCATAGAGAAGAAGTATCAATGATGAAATGTTGCTGCGATGAAATATAATATTGAAATTAATAATAAATTATATAGTATTTTTGTTTGTTCCTGTTCTTATAATGTATATTTCTTGTAAATACATAATCATGATAACACAATAAAAATTGAAATGAAATATAAACTTTTTATTCATCGACTAATCTGTTAGATATAACATTTTCAGGCATGGGATTATTTGCAACTGCTTTGATTCCTCCCAGCTTTGTTTTTGCGCATGCAACATCTGACAAACATTTGAATGTTCGTGGTTCCCATACAGCTAGAGTTGCTAGAGATTTGCGATTAAGTAAAATATTACACCTGGTTAATCCTTCCAACAAAGTTCTGAAACTAATACCATGTTCATTGGAAGCAGCTTCTATCCTGGTTTCCCAAAGCTGCAAATAATTTACTCGTTTAGTTGTGGAATTTTCAAAGCAAAAGGAAAAGCTATTTTTTACCTCTCTCATATCTTGCTTCTTCAACTTTCTTCCTAATGTAGTCTTTAAGAGTGCTCTGTGTACATTTCTAATAGCTATACTGTAACAGTTTCTTTTTCGCCCAATATAATGCTGAAAATTACAATATCCAATTTTATTCGAAATATTACAAAATTATCTTAATTTGGTCGTAATCTAAGTTGCTACCGAAAATGTAATAACTTACAGCAGCGAGTTTAAAGATTTGTCGTTTTCTCCAAAGTTCGTCGGGACCTGGATTTCTTAGAAATAACCGCGCAGTTAAAAATACCATTTTTCTGGATTCAGATGAAAAACTTACAAGGCGAGGTGTTTTTCGGTTTCTTAACAATTCTGATTCGTTATCTCCAGTTATTTTGATGCCGATCAAGTTTAGGTTATATCTGGTTATATACAGAGCAAATATACACTGCTAGTTCTCTAACTTTTTATTCTTATACCAACATGAAACATCATGGGACCTGATGGGACCTGATCACTGCTGATCACTAGACGGCAAAGACAATGGGTGCGTTCAGAAGACTCAAAGGTTGTGCCTTCTGAACGCAGCCAATAATATATAGGGATGAATCGATACAAATAAATACGAGTACATTACTCGATACTTTCGTTTCAATACCGAGTACTTTTGTCATAGAACCCCCAAAGCATGCGTAAGAGACCCCGTGTGTGTGAGATGATATTTATTAATCATATCTTATATTACGTATATCGTATATAGTTTATACATACGTTTATGTTATATATTTTATATTTTATATTAAATATTTAAATAAATATATAAAGTATAGTATTGTATTTTATTTTCTCTCAGGGTATAAACAACTTTAGTGTTGGGCATGGGTATCAAGGTTAAGGAAATATAATTCGATACGAGTATGTAGGTATCGATACCTTAGCGGTGATCACCGAATCACGATCACGGTCGTGACTTAACTTCATTTACGACCGTGATTGCGATTTTTTTATCTTGAGTGAATTTGCTTACTGCAATCGTAAGTCCTTGATTTTTAAACAGAAAAACGTATTCAATATGATTTTAGGATGAATTACATTACTATTTGTGTTTGTAAAAATCAGTAGAAAAACCAAGAAATTCTGAAAGAATGATTTACTAGGTAACATGTGGATTATAATTTACAATCATTAATTTATTTATTATTCTTCATTGTTGTTTCTTATTATTCCTTCACTTTATACGATATACCTCGAATTTTTGTTTTGATGTCGTTAATATAAAATATACAGATTATGTGTCGCGTGTAAAGAACTGTTAGGTTTCTCCACCAATCAGAAATGATCACGAGAAATCACGAATCACGTTTATATTTTACAATATTGGTTTTATCTATGAGGTTAAGTAGATTGGAGCATTCACGTGTCAATTTTCGTATTGTTTAAATTGACAGTCCAACATGAAAAGTAAAAAAAGGTGTAGTATTACTTCGATGACGTAATTCTAGAATAACTTAAATCTAATTTAAACTGTTAGCTACATATTAAAAATGTTGAATATTTCAATTTTACATTAGATATGCAGCATTCCTTCATTGTTTTTGCCTGATTTTATTGTTTTTATATCTTTTCAATAGAACGAGGACCGAAGTGGACAAAGAAATGGGCAATTTAGAAGATATAAATATGAACGAACTGACAAATTCTGAAGATGAATATTCGGAAACTGAACGGAAATTACTTCAAAAAGTACGAAATAGACGCTCTT